CTCTGGGGGCAGAAGACCCCTGAGTTTTCCTAATACACCTTCCTAATGCATGTGCTGTCAGACATGCAGTAGCCTTTCTCTCCTGAAACAAAGTCTGTCCTTAGAAGACAGAAGATGTGGAAGATATCATCAGGTCCTTCCCAAATTAGAACCTCCCCCCCGCCCTGCCTTTGAGAGCAAGAAGTTACCCCATACATTTATTTAGCTACCTGTGTTTTTATATCCCAGCTCCCACCCAAAATGCTGTCCAAGGCACTATCAGCAAGTTACACCTCAGATTACAATACTGCAATGAGAACCTTCAGATTAAAACACATCAACACCAAATAAATAAATTGGGGAAGCACCCTGGGATGCTGCTACAAAGCAGCAGAGGCCTGCAGAACCCAAGCCAAGTGGCTTGCCACTGGGAGTGGGGGAAGGGGCCCTTTGTCTGGGCCTGGGAAGGGTACTTGCCTGGGTGGTGGGGAGATGCTGATGGGGCATGCTGGCCAGAAATGGCCACACAACCTTCAACCTCTCAACCAGACAAGAAACCCGCCAGTGTTCCCATAATGTGCTATGGACAAACAGGTAACCCATCTTGTGGCTGAAGGTGACCTGGTGGACCCCACATACAAAGACATTCCCACCATGTTGAGCCACAAATGACCCACACACACAAGCATAATTTTTGCCCAATCAAATGTGCTGGCCCTGCTCAGAGAGAATACCTGAGCTCTTGCTCTGGAGTTGTCAGCCCTGTTCCAAACTTGGTATGGATCTCCACGCAGCTGTAGCTGTCCTCAAGGACTCTGAAACAGAAGAGGGCCCAGCATGGTACACAAGTGAGATTGGCTTCCTTTTGGTTGCACCTCCCTCACCAGCAGCAGAAACAGGACTCACCCAACTTTCCGAAACTCTTGAGCAGAAAAGTCCCAGGCGTACCGGATTTTCTGCACCTGGATGGATCGCACCTGCAGAGCCAAGCAAGGACAGCAGGCATGGTAAGGGGAAAGGGCTCACCGCTATTCCCCAGACCTGGATGGGGGGAATCATGGCAAGCTTTAGTGAACAAGCTGGGTGAGGGGGACAGCACTGGAGAGCTTGAGGTGGGGGAAGAAAAAAAATAATACAAGGAGCAACTGCGCAAGGAAACCGATGGGCTGGAGATGGACCATAGAGAAAAAGAAGGAGCTTCTTCAGAATCCATATTGTTCACCAGTGGAATTTGCTGCCACAGGTTGTAGGGACGACCACCGGCTGGGTCAGCTTCATACAAATGTACGAAGGGGGGTGATTCCTGAATGCCAGTTATGGGGTGGGTCCAAAGTGGGGCAGGCCATGGACTCCTTGACTGGCGTGTGGCACCCAGTTGAGCCCCTGCTGGGACTAGAAGGATTTTGAGTCCGATCCAGTCCCCAGGCTGTTCCTCTAAAGCAAGCCGGTCACCTTGGCTGAGGCCCATGGCTGGACTTGGGCATCTGCATAACTGTCCTGGCCTCAATTTCCATGAGTGTGGCTCTTGTGGGCAGAGGAGGGAGAGAGGCAGGACTGGAATCTCTCTTTTGCCACAGCAACAGATGGTCCAGCATGAAGCAAAGGGGCCTCCAAACCCCACACCAACCCTGGGGGTCCACAGAGAGGGCAGGTCAGGAACAGGTGTTGAGGGGCTCCAGTGCTAGCCCAGGCACCTCCCTTCCTGCCCATTCTCCATGGGCATACGCAGCTTTGTTGGCAGAGAGGGGCATGCACCGGCTGCCCTCCCCCAATGGGGGAGTTGGCGGAGAGCTTCTGCACCCAGCTGCCCTTCTTGCAGACGAGCCCTGGCCTTGCCAAGGGCAGACAAAATGGGGTGGGGGTGGGAAGGCTGCTTCCAGGCCAGTTATGAGGGGAGCGGAGAAAAATGTCCCCTCTCTCCAATAGAGATGGGGAGACCGCAGACCCCCAGGGTCGCTAAACACTCAGCAGCACCAGGCCCTGCAAAGGGAGGGAGGGGAAGCCCCTGAAAGCTTCCTGCAGGAGCCACGCAGACACTAGGAACAGCATCCTGGTGAAGCCACAGCATCACCCTGAGAGGCAAGGCAGGGGTTTCCAGCCAGTGGCAACCTTCCTCAACCTGGCACCCCACCAATGTGTGGACTACAGCTGCACCCCCCCAACCAGCATGGCTGTGGATTATGGGAACTGGGGGCTTCTAAAGAGTGCATTTGGTGAATTTCTGCACTGCTGTGCCAGCAGGAGATGTGCCCTGATTTCACCTCCATGCAGCTCAGAAGCCAGGAAGCTGGCCAAGGGCCCCCTACCCTTCGCCACGGGCCTTGTAAGAGGAGCAAACGCTTGGCTCTGGGCCAGCTGTAGCCTTTTCTGTTGTGCCTGAAGGGCAGGATCTTCCTCTTCCAGGACCACCAGCAGCCAGGTGACTCAAGCAGCTCTCCAGACGTAGGTGGATGGGCTGAGTGGTGAGGGAAGCCAGCGGTCCCTGCACCCCGTTATCCCTTCCTTCCGCCCTTCTTGAAGGCTTCTAGAGCAACACAAAATTGCGGGATTCTGGTTTACCTTGAACTCTGGTTTCACAATGATCCTGTTCAGGAGCGACCCTTCATCATCCATGTCAAGATAGCTGGGACTCAACTGGGCAGACAGAGGGATCCAGGTCACCTTTTTCTGGGTGAAAATCTGAAATTCATCCTGAGGAAAGAGCAGACGTTGTGGAGGAAGAGAAGCAGAGCCCTGGGCCCTCCTGCTGAGCACAGCCCACGTCCTTTTCCGAAAGCCACGTGGAGGCGCCCAGGCCACCCTGCCACATCCACCAGCAAGCCTGCTTGGAGATGGTCCCAGGGTCAGCCTTGCAGGCCAGCAGCCAGCCATCCTCCTGCCCTCCTGAGCATCTTCTTCTCAGGAGCCCCTTCAGGTCAGCACTGACGTCGGCCTAGGATTTTAATTCAAGGCTGCTATGAAACCTTCCCCACCTGTGTTAATGAACAGAATATCACAGCACTCCATTCACTTCTGATGGTTTGGAAACTCAGCTGTCTGAAAGGCTGCTTGTCTTTGGGGGGACCCATTTCCTCTGGAGGCCCTGCATGGGGTCTGTGCTGACCAACACACCATTGCTCAGAGAAGGGCGTGGGGAGGCTGAATCAAGAACATAGGAGGTTCCGGATTAAAGGAAAGACACACCCAGTCTCTGAAGCCCAAATGATTTCTTGGGAATGTAAAACTGTAACTCCTTCCTCCATTTTTCTCTCTTACCTCGCCCTCCTTTGCAGCTTAGACTGGCTGAGTTTAGAGTTTCAGCCCCTTCGCCCCATGGGTGTGACATGCTTAACTAGATCAGGGAAGGGTTTGACGTGTGCGCAGCATGCTAGACTTGGATAATATTAACCTTGGTTAGGTTTGGTGTCGCTTAGCATACCATTCAAACCCAATTACATGATTAAGTTTGGTTCAATGTGTCAGGCAAAGAAAATGGTTAATTAAACAACTGGGATGAGTGAGTTGTGTGAAGATGTCCCAGTTGTTTGCCACACTGATCTTAGACAGGATGCACTCACGGCAGCAACAGCACCAGATAAACGAGGACTCGTTATCCACCATCAGCTGCCAGGATATAACGAGAAAGGTAGGAAGGAAGAGATGGAGGGAAGAAAAAACTGCAACTTTCTTCTTCAGAAAAATCACCCCAAATATGGACACATTTGCTTTTAGGACCCAAGGAGAAGAAGTTTAAAATGAACCCTGAATCCAAACTTTCAGAAAAGAAGATCCCTAAAGAAAATTCATTTTGGAAAGTCCTCTGGCAGCTGGCTGATACCACCCACAGAAGGTAACGATCGGAGGGACATGTAAACCTCGCAAGTGAACTCTCTGTTTTTACTTTTCAGGAGTGGCTTGTGCTATGAAAATGCACGCGCGTGCACACACACACACACACACACACACAGAGGGCAGGTTGAGTGAAGATCAGCTTCAAATAGGGACATATTTGGCTCTTGCTACAATGCAGGTGATGTATCCAGAAGGTGAAATTCCCCCCATGTTGGAGTTCCAACATCAAAGCACAGAAGCAAAAGAGACCATGCTGCCATGGGAAATCCAGGCTCTGCGGATGGGAGGCAGGCAGGCAGGACCTACCGTAGTCCTGAGCAGCACCACGTCGGCCTCCTCCAAGCTGCAGGGCACGCAGTTTGCCCACACGTCCCACTCCGGTTTCCAGTGGAAGAGAAGCAGGAGCCCTCCGCAGGACAGGAGATACCCGGCCAGGCACAGGGCCCTGCGGACGCCTTGGGTCTTGTAGCCGAAGATCTCCTGGAAGGAAAGGCTTTACCGTGAAGAAGCTCTTCCCGCTCAGCCCCTGCGAAGGCTCAATCCTTGTGAAAACTCATTTCGTGGCACCTGTGAGGTGCTATTCCCACAACAATCAACCGTCTTTGTTACAACCAATAATTGTATATTGGACACACAGATTTCCCAGCTGCATAAAATATATTTGTTGGGACACTGAGGCTTGCACACTGCATGAATTTTGGATTTTATTCTGAAGCAGACAGCTTTCAAGATACTCTGTAAAGACATGAAGAATTTTCATGTGGATTTCACAGACTACTTTGCTTAGGGGTCATCCAAAGGGGCTCCATTTATTGAAGCTTACGAGAATCCGTTAGCGACATGAACCCGCTTTGCACAAAAGGTGAAGGCCAGGACCTGCAGCCCTTTCCTATTTAACTTCCCAGGCAGGACATTTTGCCACTAGGTTCTTCTCCCTGGCTTGATGTGGAGGTTTATCTCCTCACTCCCAAGCTGAAGGGATTCTCTAGGCTGCAGATCTGAAAAACACCTCAGACCACGCTTTGTCATGCTGACAATGCTAAGAGCACCACTTTTAAATATCAGAGGAAACGCCAAACCTTTGCATATTTGCATCATTTTTGAGTCAATGTGTTGTAATTTTTTAAGAAGTACACTGCGCTGTCTGTGAATCCAGGTGGGGAGGCCTGCACTTGCATTCTGACAACCACCCAGTTTAAAGCAGCCAAGATACAACCGGACAACACAAACACAAGAAGCAAACCTTGCAGCAAACCCAACAGATTTATCACCAACCATGTCACCACAATGTTTGGGTGCTTCACCTGCTCCTCCTCTAATGTGACAGAAGGCATCACCTGCCAGCAACGCCCCCCGAATTCTACATAGGACAACTAGCCAGATGCTGTGCAAAAGAATAAACGGACACCACGGGACACCAGAGTTCAAAACAGCAACAAGGCATTTCACCCTCCCAGGATACTCCACTGCTCATTTCAAGCTGGCAGTGCTGGAAGTGAGAAACCTCCCCACCATAATACAAGGAAAGAATATGGCATATTAGGAAAATGTTATCCACTACAGAAAGCTTGGACAGGGACCATAGGTTCTTAGCTCATTCCATTTGCTAATGGGCAAGGCACTCGCCCCCCATCCTTCTCTCTGAGATCTTCCTCTCAGTCTCTCCTAACCCATTCAGTGACCCCTTTAATTTTCTGTCTTTAAGTCCGGTAATAGTGAGCCCAGTCTAGTATTTGAAGAAGTGATCTGCTGCTCAGGAAAGGTTATTCCCCAATATAGTTGGTTAGTCTTGAAGGCACTCCCAGACTCGGTGTCTCCTGAGTAAATTGCAGCTGTCTGAATGAAGAAGATGGCAGGGATGCAAGGAGAGCCTCCTGAGCTAGGCTCACTCGGTCCCTGCCATACACAATGCCCGGGTCCTTTGTAGTCCAGTGGGAGACGGCAGTCTTGCACACAGCCAGTCCCAGATCGTTGCTCAACCTCTGCATCCTCAAGTCGGATGGGGACACGACCGCCTGACACCTCACGAGCTATTGCAGCTAGCCAACAGGGACCAAGGTCTGACAAGGAGGTATGTGTCATGCATCAGATGATGACGATGACGATCTGGTCCCTATCGATCAGGGATGTACTTATGATGCTCTTCTCTCAGAAGAAGACCGTATGCCTCTGCTGGATGGAGTAGATGGTGATCCAAAGGAACTTCTGTAGGAATCCATTTGCTCACTTTTAAGGTACAACTCCTGCTGATTTGTCTCCCAAGAGACTAACAGGACCTTCTCCATTCAAGTAACGTCACGGGGGCGGGGGGGGGGAGGAGCAAGTAGGTTTTCGGGAGAAGAAAGTGAGTTCTTTTCTTTGGGTTCCAGGCTCCCCGCGTGGAGGGACTGCCTTCTTCACACACGCACCAGCCCTGCTAGTTCATCCTCTCACCTGATCTGCACCTCACCCAACTACCTGGCAAGCTACCAAACCACAAATATGATGTATCCAAAATAAACCAAGCTATGTTTCAGGCAAAATTACTTTCGGCAGCCAGGTGATTGAAGCGCACAGGTGGGATTAAATAATGCTAGCAAAGCGTTTTTGAATTCAGAAGGCTTCCTGCAGTCAGCTTCAGGTTCGCTTTGCACTGCATTTCCAGGAGACGGAGCCCCAGCCAGCTCCATCCTGCTTATGGAACGGAAGCTCTGAGCGAGCGAGCGAGCGAGAGGCCCATCCCGTCCCGCGTTTACTCTTGGCATCCAAGCGTAGCCTGAGTTGAACTTTTAAGGAAAGCTCCGCCAAGCTGCTCTGCTCCAGAAACGCCGGCGATCATCTGCCATCATCTCTCACCCACACTGCCACTAGTCATACTAGTCTAGGATTATGGGAACTGAAGTCCAGCACTGCTGAAGGAGGGCCATCTGGCAAATGCAGTTCTAAGGAGCAAGGCGCGTGTGCGAGGAACTTGGCAGCTAAGGCCGGTCAGTCCCATCCTAGTAGATTATGAAGGTGCCTCCCAGCTGACTAAGGGCAAGGCGGGCAGTCACGGGTTCTTAAGGGTGGCGCTGCATTTGTGGATCTCTCCCTGGAGCCGCGTTGGCAGAGTTTTAGAAGTCTGGGGTTTAATGGTTTTAATCTACCACTTTAATTGCTTCCCCTCCATTTCCTCTAATCGTCCACTTTTATTCCTCTTGGGGTTGTTGTGACTACAGCATAGAGTATTTTCTGGCAAGCTTCTCTGGAGAACACCTGACAAAACCACCACCACAGCCTCAGACATGCAGGGCTGGCGCCTGTCTCGAGCTGCCAAGCCAGCCGAGGCTGGCAGATCCTGCTTGGGGCTTTCCCGGGTGATTCAAGGGGACCAGGTTGTTCGGCACCACAGTGTGGACTCTTGCTGTCTCTAGCCCTGGCTCCTTCCTGCGGTCTTCTGTTCCCCTTTTTCTCTTCTGGAGTGATGAATTGGGGGGCCTGACCCAAGAGAAAAGATGAAGCTGCTTCCTGCTTTCGCCTGGGAGAATCTCTCGGCAATTCTTTTCCACCCCAGAGGGTGCGTTCGGCTAAAAATGTAGAACAGCTCCAGGTCTGGGCCTCTGGTGGAGGATGCAGCTGGGTCCAAGGGATCCCTGAATGGGACCTGGTAGGTCCTGGACTGGCAGAAGGTGTCTCGGGGGTCTTGGGATGTCCTCACCCCCACATCTGTCTTAAGGAAAGAAGCGGAAGCATCTTCAGCAGGAGCAGGCCACGCTCGCCTGAGAAGCAGGCCGGGTCCTGAGGAATGGGTGAGCTGAAGGGAAGCCCCCCTTGTGAGGAGGATGGGCTGCAGCGGGGGCCTGGGCAAGCCCGAGGAGCAGGGCCTTCCGCTCCGCCAGGCAGCCTGGGTCCTCCCCTGCCCAACCCTTCCACGGGCTGCCTGCTGTTTGGCCCCAGATTGCCTCAACATCTGGAGCTGGTCGGCTGGCTCGCCTCTGCAGGTGGACACATAGGCAGGAGAAGGCTGTGATGCAGCAGGCGTCAAGGGAGGGGAGGGCCAGGCAGGGAAGACCAGAGAAGGGGGGGGCCTTCTCCGCAGGGCACGGAGTCCAAACTGCAGCCCGAGAGGAGGCAGGAGCCCCAAGAGAGCACGCTGGAGTGCCCGCTTGCTGCGTCCTGGTGCCATCTCCGCTAGGAGATGGAGGCGAGGGAGGGACCGCGGCCCAGGCCCCCGGGACGTTCCACCGAGCTCGGGGTTTCCAGAGGATGCCAGCCCTTCCTTACACAGACTGAAGGCATGCCCAGAAAGATGGGAGGAATCCCACCGCTGCCCGGGCGCTGTGCAGGGGCAGGCTGCTGCCCAAAGCCACCAAACCGTCCTGGGACCCACGTGCCACGAAGAGGTATGGAAGCGGCCGGCCCAAGCCCTCCCTCCCTGCCTGCCTGCCTGCCCTCTGCTGCTTC